ACCAACTAACCCCTGTAAAAAATTTACCCACACACCCCGGGGTTTTTGCGTTTATAACCAAACCCCCACTTATTTTGCCTTTTTTTTTATTTTTTTTCCCCCCCCCCCCCCCCCCCCCCTTTTACCGACGGCCACCCTCTTTTACATATATACCCTCCCCCTCCCGATCCCCCCGCGATCCCGCACGCGCGGCTCCCCAGAAGAAAAGAAGGCCCAAGCCCCCCTGGGGCCGTTACACCACTGATCGTTTCCCAGCCCTAGGTAGTCCCCCCTTGTCTCGGAACTTGGCCTGGGGACGTGCCGCCGCGCCCCCGACCACAAACAAGGTTCGGGACCGAGCGTCCCACGCCCGCCCGTACCCAGCTAGCCAACCAGCGCTCCCGACGCCGTTACATCCCAGATCCAATAAACGATATTTCCTTCGTCGAGGGCTTACCAACAGGTGAGGATTACGTCAGTGCTATCGCTCGTGTTCCCCCCGTAAGGCTTCCCGACAGGACCTGGGATTGCGTAACGCGCCTCGGTACGCACCACCACGTGGATTTGAGTTGTGGCAGCAGGGACGGGCAGAATCTTAATGACGTTTTAATGTTTATCTCTGGCTTGGTTTAGATGTAACATCGTCACTAAATTTCTTGACTATGCTAATAAATGAAATGAATAGGTAGTTAGCATATTATCATCCCGTAGAGCAAAATACTCGTCACTTGACAAGTATATTTCACGTAGGCACGACTAACTTAGGGGATGGCATCACAGGTCATTTAAACTTTGTACTACGATGAACAAACAATTAGATAATGGCTAAAGCCGAAATCATCAAGCGTATCACGGACCCCTTAAACATATACTTTAAAATTTGATGTATTGACTAAAGAGAACCTGAGCGCCTATTAAGCCAATTTAATGCTTGTAAAGGCTAAACGAACGTCACCCAAGGCAAGTCCAAGCAGAACGCCGTTCCACTACTACCGAAATCGAATGCACCTGACGATGAATTGTTGCAATGACATAGGCCGGGATAATAGAGGAGCGGTTTAGTTAAATTTCCATAGCTTTCATTATACCATGAGCTTATTTGTATTCGGAAAATGTACCAACCAACCAAAGTCATAGCTATCATCATCCGAGGCAGATAGCCGGGAATCGAGGCAGGATTATATAGTCCTTCGTATTCCGTCAAGCCTGCGAAGAAGGACCTTAGTTGCATAAGCGTACAGAACTAATTATCTTGATGCCGCCGTTTCATAATAGAGAACATTCCGTGAATGACTAGACCCGATACCACTCATCCTGCCCATGGCTGATTTTTACAACCTCGAGACAGGGGCAGAGAGGACCCGGTGCAAGCAGTGGTATTCTTCGACGAACACATGCCAAGGCGAACGAAATTGATTGCGCTATCTGCGAACAAGGCGTATGTGTTCAAAATGTCAAGGCATCAGGACGCAAAGTAGCTGCAGAAAAAAGCAGTTGCAATCGCCAATGTTTGAGACATGTCGAAACTATATGCCACGAAATTGCCATGAAGGAAGACTCGTGTCGCTCAGGTTGGGTAAGGTGAAAACTAAGGAAATCGTGAAATGAAATCAACGTCGTAGCAAATAATGCAAATAGTACACGGTTCTCCCTGTTGAAACATCCACTTTTTGACAAACGCCATAAAGTCAATGCAAGGCAAGGGAACCAACTGCCTAAGACCCCCGAACCCCGTGCGCACCGTCCATTTGTCGTATCGAACTCACCAACGCCTGCATATCATAACGAGGAGAAGGATGATCGAACAACCGCGTGTAGATGGTGTCGTACATGGCAGGGAAACAAAGATGGATAAGACCGATGAGCCGAAACCAGAGAGCGATACGAGAGACTGAGAAGCATGCCGAAACGCCAGAAACGCAGGACGCCGGTTATGCTAGATCATACCAAGTGCGACAATTCATACCGGGTGCTGAATTGTTGCGAGCAGGTTTACTAGGACGGGGTTAGCTTCTTCAACAACAGATGCAGGGATAGTTGCAAGACGTACCTGAGGACCTAAGCCGCCAGGGGGAGGGCCCTGATGACCGCTGCCACCAAAGCTAGGACCGGCAAACGGACCGGGACCAGGTGGGCCAGGAGGTCCAGGGGGGAAGTAATGAGGCGGGGGAGGGGCAGGACGATACGGGGTACCTACACCAGAATTGTTCTGAGAACGACCCCAAGACAGACGAACCCTCGAGTTACCAATCGGGTAACCCTGCATCTGATTGATTGCCATCTCCGCGGCGTGACGGTGAACAAACTGAACAAAACCGCAGCCCTTGCCGGGTGGGATCTTAACGTAGGTAATCTCGCCAAAACCCTGGAAAAAAGATCTTAGTTCGTCTTCTGTCACATAGCCAGAAAGACCTCCAACGAAGACAGTTGTATTGTTCGGGTCTGTAAATTGGTTCATCGTCAACGGGTTAAACGTTCCCGGTTGCTGGTAGCCATAGTTAGGCGGTTGCTGCTGCTGCTGCTGCTGCTGTACCCACTGGCCACCCATGTTGCCAGCATGGTGCGGAACTTGGGGGGGCTGGACCATCTGGTGGCCGTAAGGGTTGTACTGCCCTCCCTGGTGATTGCTAATCATCATGTTAGAAAACATATACTAGATACTAGATTATGTTACTTGCCGGTTCTTAGGAGTCGCGGGCGAGACTCTCATAGGTCTATTGCCACAATAAACGCCTTGCATCTCCACCAGCGCACGCTGCTGATCTTTTTCATCGGAAAATCTGACGAACCCATAGCCTCGCGACTGTCCAGTCTGCTGATCGGTCATGATTTTAGCTGACTTGCAGCTAGGGAATCGTGCCTGGAACAGAGCGACCAGGACAAACTCGTTAACTTCATGACCTAAATCTCCAACAAATATCGAGAATTCGGGAGTTCGGTCGTCCCGACGATCAATGAGACCTCCGCCCGAAGCCCAATTCAAACGGAAAACACGGTCGGTGTTGGGGATGGGCGTGCCGTTCAGCTGCAGAGCCTTCTGGGCAGCCTCCGGAGTGGCGAATTCGACGAAACAATAACCGGCACTCCTATGTTTATGTGAGAAGCTGTTGGTTTGAGTCTGTGGGGAAGAAATTAAATAAGTAGGATCGGAGATGGTAGGCTTCTGCCGCTTGGGAGAGCCGGTAGGATCATGGAGCCCACTCGGGTTCCAGCGAGGAACATGGCAATGGACAGGTTCTTCATACCCAGAGTGACGATCTCGGATGATCTTAACCTGCACGTTTTCGTTGAGTGTCGACTGGAATAGCGTGCGAATGAAGCCCTCGTCCATCCACCCCGCTAGTTCGCCCATCCTGTATAATTCAATTAGTGTTACTCGTTATTATTGAGTAGGGATAAGGTCTGTTTTATACCAAAGGGTCTGGCGAGCAGAATCGGCAGGGAAGGGCTGCGTCATGTCACCACCTTGACCGTTAGTCTGGGCCAAGGAAAGGCCTTGTTGGGATACACCAGGGGCACCGCCTGCACCTTGAGAGCCAGCATCGCCCTGGGAGCCAGAGCCGTTAGACGGAGGCTTGCCGTTATAGGGGTTGAATCCGTCCATGGTAACCTGTGAGCGGGTGTTAGATACCGTCTATACTTAACACTTTGTAAGGATACGATATATATAAGCAAGATCGTATTGGTGTTGGGGGTGTATCCCGAGAATCGGATGACAACGGTAGGCATAAGCAAGTCAGGGGAGAATGAACATACTAAATCAAGATTGTGGCGAAACTTTGTCAAGTCTTATCGATCGAATTCCGAGTTGATAGTTTGGATACTGCAAGTAGAGACGGCTATATTTTGAAATATTGGTTAATAAATTGAAGTCGGAGCCTGACTGCATGTGAAAGGAATTCGCTTAGGGAGGGAGTTTAAATGTGTGTAATATAGGAATTGACAACAATCAAAGAGATAGCCCTTGACTGATTTGATGATCTCAAAGGAGTCGAGGAAGGTACTAGTGAGGTTTGGCAACGACGATAGAAATGCGCATCGGATGATGAGGAAGCAGTAGGTAAATTACCTAGGAGTTGAAGGCTGAGGGATAGAAAAGAAAGGGTGCGTGGCTGAATAGGAAATGAGGGAGTCTAATAGTTGCACAGTGTATTATGCAAGATGGACGACAAGGTAGACGATAAAACTCGTTAATATGACTCACCTATCGTGCTTATTACAGTTGATAAAAGCTGTGTGTGGCCAAATGTAGATCTCCTAGCAAACAGGATGTCAGTACGCAGATCTAAAGACAGTTTTATTTGAAAACAGTGCCTGTGTGCAATATAGGAAAAATTTTCCTGTGGGTCGCTTAAGAGCTCGAGGAATAGTAAGAGCATAGAAGACAGTATTAGGGAGTGTAGCATGTTGTACGAAACATACTAGATAATGTAGATCGGTCAGAGGCTGAACGCGCGAGATACTTTAGACACAAGTCATTGTAGAAACTAGACTCCTTGATGAACTACATGGCGGAGTTGTTATGATAGAAAGAAATGCGCAAAACAGAGAATCAGAATAAAAGTCTAAGGCAGAAATAAAATAATCTTTCAGCCAGCGATATCGCGCTTTGGGGCGAAATTATCATCCATGCTACAATATGCCGCCGGACAGTATGTTTGCCGGGGCAGTAAAAAATATAAGTTTAAAGAAAGAGGTTATCAGCAGTGCTCGTTCCCAATAGATACTGAACATGGCTTAAGCTGGAAGCTTTTCCAGACGTCTTTACCACAGTGAATTTGAACTCGAAATTGGAATTCAAGGGGAATATTGCTTGAAACCATCTGATGGAACAACATGGCATTATATATAGCATGGAAACAACTCGCAAACACCCCAGATGCTTAAAATACGAAATACTGTCGTGAAGGGGG